GGGAAGGAGAAAGGTATTCTGTTTCATAGGTTCTTCGTTCGTGAGTCGTGCAAGGCAGAGAGGGAGGAGCACGCCACAGCCTCAGCCACTGTCGAAGCCTTAGGGAATTTGTCGGATGGTGATCGTGTCCTTTTTACCCGCGGGGTCGCTGAGCATCCCGAGGCGTTTTGGCCTCGGGCGCGATCGCCGGGAGGAAGTGCAAGCAGATTGGGTAGCGCTTTTCTCTGAAAGTAGCAGCGGGGACATGCAAGGTACGCTCTCCTTAGACGGCTTGTCTTTCACCCACCCACCTGCATCACGCAGGATGGGGGGTTCTCAGTGAAGGATCATGTAGGATGGGGGCTATCAGTGTACAGGATGGGGGGGTATCAGTGTACAGGATGGGGGGCGATCAGTGTACAGGATGGGGGGTTATCAGTGCACAGGATGGGGGGCTATCAGTGTACAGGATGGGGGGGTCAAGCGTTGCCGACCTGCGTCACGCAGGATGAGGGGCTGTCAGTGTACGGGAGGACGGTGGCGTCATGTGCCCGGTGCACGATCCAGTGCGCGCTCCCCTGGTCCAGACGTCGCCCGCTGCTGAGTTCTTTGCGTTTGGAGTGTCCTCCTCCTCCTCCCCCTCCCCCTCCTCCTCCTCCTCCTCCTCCTCCTCCTTCTCCTCCCCCTCCTCCTCCTCCTTATCCTCCTCCTCCTCCTCCTCCTCCTCCTCCTCCTCCTCCTCCTCCTCTCCTCCTCCTCCTCCTCCTCCTCCTCCTCCTCCTCCTCCTCCTCCTCCTCCCAGCCCCCCCTGCCCAGGCGATCGCGCACCTGGGGCAGGCGCTCCCACATACCTGACACCGTACCTCCGCTACGGCCAGGCCCCCCGCGGCCAGCTTGCCCACACTCTCTTGCGCCCCGCGACGTGCTGATGCTCAGCTTTCTCTCGATGCTGGGCTTTCCTCATTGGAGTGCGATGCGTGCAGTGGGCGAGATGAGGCTGAACGACATCAGCGAAGAGTTTTCGCACGTGGATCTGATAGCCCTCACAAGCACGGGTGAACGTGCCTCACAAGAGCAGGCGACGACCAGATCACCGTGCAGGTTTCCCTTTTGTATTCACTCTGGATTCGTACCCAGTCGCCACTCCAACAAATCGCGCGGCACCATCCTGATGGTGCGCAAAAGGAAGTTCAGGGCCAAACGTGTGATCGGCACGCCAGCAATCCCCCAGCAGCTTCGTGGGCGAGTGGCTCTGCATCGACTACGGTCAGGCCGTTTCGACATAGTGATCCCGACCTGCTACTTCCCTCCGCGCCCATCGGCGCGTAGGGGAGGACGTGAGTCAGTGGAGCCCGAGGCGCATCGCAAGTACCAGCACACTGTGGACACGATGTTTTCATGGCTCGAGCGCGTCTTCAGCTGGACGCCAAAGCGGGCCAGCTTATTCTGAGGATTCGACTTGAACGACTCGTTCGGATGGAGGAGGAGGGCAGGTGGCCAGGCTCTTGTGGTTTCAAGTGCGCTGGGCAAGTATTGCAATGCCGAGCAGCACTACGCGAGCGAGAGGGTCCTTGAAGTGATGGAGAAGTATGCGATTCGAGTCGTCTCGACAGATTTCCCGACTGGACCAACATACGTGGGCTCGGTCTCGGCTTCGTGTATCGATTTCATAGCTACTTTCGAATGGCAAGCAGTTGATGCGAAGACGCGTGCCCCTCTGGTGCGGTCCAACGTGCGGCTGAATTTGATCCAGAAGCAGGGGGCGCGCGACCACATTCCCCTGTTGTTGCGGGTCGAGTACACCGTCGACATGTCTCACTCCCAGGTCGAGCGGACGGCCTGGGACTTCGATCGGCTCGCCCAAGCGCTCCGACGAGGGCGGGGCGCACAGGAGTTCATCGGCGAGCTAGAGCGGGTCTTCGAGGACGAGCCTGACTACCACGACCTGTGCTTTTCGTCGCCTGCCCCCGACGACGTATGGGCCAGATGGACCACTACGGTATATGAAGTGGCTGAGCGACACTTCGGACGGCGGCAGGAGGAGGATACTCGTGCTCGCGAATATGCAGCGGTCCGCTCGCGGCATCTAGCTGAGCGACGACGGCTGCGGGAGGTCGGCGGTGATGAGGGGGAGGTTTGCCTTCAGCTTGCACGAGCGTCGAGGCGGCTGCGGTTGCTGAGGCGCGCGAGGCTAGAGGAGACGACGGCAGAGCTTGTCACCGAGATCGGGGGGGCATGGCGCAGCAGGCGCCTCGCCGAGGCGCGGCGACTGGCGCACGCGTTGGCAGGCCGCTGCGGCGGCCCGAAGAAGCGGAGGTACAACGTCGCGGAGGAGTTCGTGCCACGCTGCGGCGAGGTGCAGCAGTACTGCTCTCCCCCTGGCCCTGAGGGTGGTCTTCGCGCCGTCCCTGTGAACTATGCCGAGTGCCAGCAGCTGCGACTGGACGGGCTACCCCCCCCCGACGTTTGGCTCGGACAATTTCGCGCATGTGGAGGAGGGGAGAGACGACTTGGCCGAGGC